CTGGGCCCTAACCATGATCCTTGCTACAACATCACTCTGGATACGACAGCAGAAGTAGCAGATGAAGGGCTGACGCAACATCACAACAAGGTTGAGAATGACATCCAACATTACGATAAACAAAGGTACGAACGATCCTAGTGACGCTGCAAATGGTCAAACTTGGGCCCTACAAAATTGGAATGGTGAAAATGGCCGTGCTTACAATGAATAAGAGTCAACCGCATAATTGTGATAGCCCAAACCAAAGAAGCACCAAAGCAGGAAGACTACTACCAGTATTGAGGCCGCCCCATTCAGGATCAGAACTCTTCCCCTCCCCTCCAACCTCTTCGCGCCAGTGCAGCTCCCGCAGGGCAGAATTTGGCCAGTTGGGTCTGGGAGATCACTCAAAGGAGTCCCGGCTCACATGAGGGTGAAACATGGCCGGCCTGACCCGTCTTATGGCTGTGGGGTACTGAAGTGTGATCCTTGATCCTAAATGCTGTTTCTTGTCAGGGTTTCATCGGAGAATTCCTAAAGCCGACCCCAAAACCACTCGCAAAGTCTCGGCACGTCTCCGCCTCTGCTATCCTCTGCTCTGCCAGGTATGCACTCCGTCTCACACTGTTTTCTAGTGTTGGATGCTCGGACTCCTAGGCCCGTCTGGCCTCCTGGACCTGCTGTATAGACATGTGTCTGCAAAGGTATGAGAGCCCTACAAGATGCTCGCAGGTGAGGTTTCGAAACTGCTCGCCGACTGAACTTTTGTATTGCTTGGCTATCTGGGTGTTCTGTAAGACATGCGTCTGCACAGTATGGGCCCTCTACAAGACCATGGCAGATCAAGTTTCGAAACTCTTGCTGCGATTCCCCCTGTTTTTCTTGATCTCTTCCGGGAAACAATACTGAATAGTGCTTGTGACAGGCGGTAGTGCCAATCTTTGCCTTGAGCCAAAGGCCACAAGTGCCGGATGACTGCGCAATGGCAGAGAGGATAGGTCGGATAGGTCATTATTCCGCATACTTTAGCAATCCAGGACATACCCTCTGAGAATTCTTTTTCCGGCCCGGAACTTTTGAAAGACTCCATGCATCAACATTCCTTTTGACAGCTAGGTACCGGGCTTGTAGGGCCTTACAGGTATTGTCCCATGGGATGGAAACTGGGATAACATCTGGATTTAAGTACGAAGACCGTCCTGACATAGTATCCTTAAGTGAAGCTATGCGGCCCTTAATAATGGGCACGTAGGTCTAAGTAAAAGGTAGTCGGATGGTCTAGGTAGGTGGCTGCACGTCCCTTGCAAGCCTTACAACGACCATCTTCGGGCACTCTTTGGTTTCCCATTCAAATTCCCCTCGAGAAAGCCTGCTGGCCCTCAACAAAACTCCTGCCAGCCTTTGCTAGACCGTGAGCATCCATAAGAACCTCTACAAGGAGGCCATACTGGCACAAGCTGCATGGACTGCGGGGTACAACTTCTTGACAATGCCATGTGAAAACCTAAAGCGAGTTAAATGCCTGCCAATCGTGCGAGGGTGGCCCTGATGGTTATTTGCACGCCCTGAAGCAGAATCCTAAAGGTGCATCTCAACAAAAACTCCGAACCCCTGTTCATCTGCTGAGGGCCATGCGTCAGAAGCTGTAGGACATAACTCTTTGACCTGGCACTTGCATCGATCAAGAGAATGTGCCACTTGTACCCCGACAGCTCTGACACATCTGCAGCTTCAAGCTCGAAGTTTGCTACGTCGTAATTGCTATTAATTGCTTCAGAATTGCGTCCTGCGGTACTTCTGCTTAGGGACTTTGATCAGCATGGGACAGTCTTTGCTTGAGGATGGAAGGAAGCCGGGGATTGAGGATGTTGGGGCTGGGAATGGAGGATTCCAAATCTTCAGGGTTTCATAAGGTCCAAAGAAGACCGAAGAGCACGGAGTGATAAGACCATGCCTGCAACCTACCCCAAAATACTGCACTAGCAAAGGCTTCTGGAATGAAGAGGACTGGAAGACGAAGGCTTGCGAACATCTTTCTTCAACCCCCCCCACAAGGAAAGTTAAGGGTAAGGGTTTAGGGTTCAGGGAGGGTTTGAGATCTTTGCAGCAGGCTTCAAATTCTGCATCGCTACAAGGCTGAGCCTTGAATGAATGAGAAAGAATTCCCGCTGAATTCGAACAACACGGAAGTCTTCCCTTTAGACAGTGCTGACCCTTGACTCTGGGACCTTGCCAACCCCGTGAGGCTCCTCAAAAAAACTCTATGAAGTCTGTGAACCTTGCCAAACATGAGATGAAGTTTTGAAACACTGGCAAAAGCTTGGTTTTGACAATCCCCCATGCAATCTTGAGAACTACACCTGTCTATAACCTATAGCAGGGCACATGCTGAAAATCCCAAACGGAAGTGGATATCCCATGAATCTGCCTCTAACCCCTGCAGCGGTAGACAGCCGCCAAGATCCTGCATGCTGAAGTGATGGTGCCGAAGTGGCCCCCAGAAGGCCTTCATACAGAACCCTCCTGCCATAATCCTATATGAGCTATAGTCTAAACTCCTAGTATACGCCTTATTCAGCCTATACTACTCCCATATATAATCCCTCATAGATCCCTCCCTTGAGGAGTTTAAAGTACGGCTACGTATAATCCTCACTTGGCCCACTTGGAAGGGACCCACAGGCTTCATACCAAAACCAAGCCCCATTCAGGTGACGCTTTTCCTTTGGTAGTTTCACAAATGTTGGGGACCCCAATATAGACTCCAAAATAAGCGGCCCAATAAAGTTAAAGATGATTCTACCCTACACCCTGAACCCCAAACACCCTAAACCCTCACCCAATCTTTCTACTAGATTCCTCAATGTAGGCTCCGGCTACCCATACTTTTAGGAAACCCCCACTTTGACCTTCGAGCTAACCTTGAGATGGCCTCAAAGGTGCAGCGAAGCTTCGGATCTGGTCACCTCAGTACTTACTGGTACTGTAGAATACTATAGAATACTACACTACCATAGTAGTCAGAATGATAATGGTAAGAATCCTGCTGATACTGAATAAACAATAGTCATCATAATAATGGTAGGAATCCGGTTGATATTAAGAAATAGTCCTGCAGCTCTTTAGTATGCTATGATCACATTCTTCCCACGGTATGATGCGCCAACAATATGCCCAGCACTACCTAATACATATACAACTAGCACATGATAATCACAGCAAAATGAACAGCAGCTTGTCGCCTGCGTCGGTTAGTCTAGGATTCTCAGGGTTCAGGGGCGGAATCGGCTGAGGGTTCACATGGGGTTGTAGGAATGTAGGGGTCTGGGGACTGCTGAAAAGATTTTTTAAATTTTTGACTGGGGATGCTCCAGGAGTTTGGACGTATGGGATGTGGGGTTTGGGAGGATTTGGGAATGGGGATATTTGCTTCCAAGTTGCGGACTTTAGGTGCTGTGCCTAGAAGCTCGGGGTAAAGAGTCGCGGAAAATGCAACAGCTTAACTTGGAGCGGTTTCAGGCGCACTTCTTTTAGGCTGCTCGGGGCTCGCAGCTGCTGAGACATTGTATGGGGCTTGAGGACTTGCTCCACACCGCTTGACTCCTGCAGGCGGAGGTTCTAGAATCTCCAGGAGGAGCCTCCCGGCAAGCCCTTGACTGCAACCAGAAGACCCTCCTCGGCAGCTTTCTGGAGCAAAGCTCTGGGCTTGGGACATGGGCAGTTGGCCTGAAATCACCTGGGAGGCGTGGGAGCTCCAGTATGTCTAGCCAAGATTCCGGGGCAAAGAGGGGAGGAAGGCCGGCTTGAGCTTGTTACAGATGCTGTTGAGGATGTATAATGGATAAGCATGGATGGGGATGGATTCATCAGGTTTAGGCATGCTTGGAGCTTACGTATCAGGAAGCATTCAGAGCTCTGTGCAAGGGGACCTACAGGATTGCTGGGTCTGACGTGTAGAATTACAATTACACGAAGCCCAGCCGCAGCCGAGATTGAGTGCTGGAGTGCTCCCTGCCCTGGGGCTTGTTTAATGCGCGATTCCCGTGGATTGAGGGCCCAGATCTTCGTTGAAAAGTCTGGTGGGCTGCCATTAAGGAACTTAAGCCATGTTACCATAACTTGGGTATGTAGTACATACTAGATGAAAGACCCTGCAATCTGGGCCCTGAGCACTACGTCCCCTTTTAGGGACTTGCTTGGAAGGTCAGGGGGACTTCAGTAAGTAGGCTCACAATGGGGATAACTAGGGTTACTATATGGGTTATAAGCTAGGTTTATCAGCCTACTTAATAGGTCCCCCTGACCTTCCAAGTGCTATGCCCGGGCCGCGCTGGCGCTGAACGTTGACACTGAAATCGAGCATCTCATCTAAGGTGCTGCAGACGCACTTGGACGGACTTGGCGTAGCCAACTTGCGTAGAATTCCGGTCACGATCCCTGCTACATGACTGCTTATGGAGGATTGAAGAAGAAGCTTTCATAAGCTTTCTATAGTCGGCTCTTGGATGCTTCGCGGTCAATCCAAGTGGACCTGTGTGAGCTTCGAAATCATCCCCTCCCTCTGGGAAAACGCCCTTCACCCCCCCCGATGTTAAATGCCATATATTACAGTAAATGTTCAATATTTGCGGCTTTAGGTGTTTCAATACAAAGAGAGGGGATTACCGCAAATGTGCTGATGGCGTCAGCCACGATTTCCACGGCAAGTCTGGACGTGCACGATTACAGCCCGCCTTCAACAGTTGGAACATGGAATTGCCCAAAATCATTATAAGATCCGCATGCGCCCCAGATTCTATCTACTCAAGGGGGACTGTAGGCCTTCAATTCTTGCCTACTTGGAGGCGCTTTGGATGGACTTGCCGCAGCAACTACTACTCAACAGAAAGATCTTTTAGGTGGAGTATCGCAGGTCCTTGACAGACATGCAACAACCAAAACAGCCAAGAAATTGTCGAGCCAAATCACATACCAGGTCCTCACGTCCATGCCCTGCCCTGATCCATGCTTGGCACAGCTCAGGGCATGAAAAAGGCATAGACGGGGAACTCCATGCCGTCCAGGGCCTGGCGCTCCCAGCGGCACCCCACCCCCAGCGGCAGTTGCGTCCGAGGGTGCACCGGCGCAGCGCGGTCGAATTTTTTAGCACCGCCAGAGCTTCCTTCAATGACAATCTCACCTTCGCCCCAGCCCACGGGACGACCATTTCGAAAGGCTTCCCTTGGAAATGCACAGGAGAGGCTGAATCCAAATCTGATCAGGCGGCATATTGCAGCATACTGCAATCATCTAAACTGAAAGATCTTAAGCAGTCCGAGGCTCTTGGGCAGCCCATGCTTTTCGGCATCCTTGTCAGAGAGCTCCGAGGACCCAGCTTTATACTTCTCCACCCAATCCTCAGCTGCATCACATGAGCGAAGCACTTAACAAGCCACACCACAAGGAAACCCACAACTCTGCAAGCTCGGACCAGGCCGGGGCGCGGCTTGCACCGTGTTCCAATCCCTCGAAAGCGCCAAACTCCCCCCTACACTCTACACCTTACCCTTGCAATCGTCGAGCGTCAGCATCGAAGATGTTCGAAACGGCACAGCAGATCACCTCGCCCAGCTCATGGTGCCGGCGCACCTCCCGGAGCCAGTGGCAGCACCAACCTGGGCAGCAGCTGAAACTCTGAGCACAGGCGGCAAGGAGTGCGGGGGATAACTCTGGAGGCAAGGTTTGGCTGATAACTCCATCTGCGCGGCTGCGGTGAGAAAGCCAACTACCCAAGAACTCTGAACCCCTAAACTACAAAGAAACAAGAAACATGTAAGTAGAAAATCAACACAAGGTTGACCCCCAAGCGAGGAGGAAAAACAACACGGCACACCTGAACCTGTAAAGACTAACAGGCAATACAGCTTTTCAAGCTTCTTACAAACCAGTCCGGTCTATACTTTCTAGTTCTATTGTAACGATACCGAGGTTCGTCTAGAGGAGATGTTCCCGGCTCCCGCATCCTCCCTACCCCTACATTAAGAACTCCCCAGCATGGATAGCACCCCCTACCAACCCAAGTTTGAGTTGAATATCAACACTTGTGAGCGTGACACTGAAACAAACCCACCCAAAATTCAAGGCCTCAACGCGGCTGAATGGTACACAACCACAGGGGGCTCTAAGACCTATGTGCAAAACCAAACCTCAGGATTTCTGGTCATGGTAAGTCCTCTTGAGATCCCAAATCTTCCCTAACATCCAGCAAGCAAAGTTGGCCTTAGCATTTTTTGCGGAAACCGACGTGGATATCGGGCCTCTTTTTGACTGTCTAAACTCGAGAATGACTGCATTGAGCCGACTTAGCCTGACAGATGGAATCAAGGACTGGGAACACCTTCCAGCATCCCCCCAGGAAAAACCTAGACCGCCTTTGAAATTGTACCACTCCATCATTGCCCTGCTGGATTTAATGATTACTTTCTAGCATCATTCCAGGTTTTAACTGCCAACCCAAGACTTCCCACCTTACGGTGGCTTCCAGACCCTGATGATAATGTAAGCTAAATGATATTTGTAGGGATAAAGGAGATGGAAACCACTATTTAGGGTTTAGGGGTGAGGGGTAGTGCATTTCATCAATCTTCCAAGGGGCATCTGTATTTTACTCCAGTCTCGGGCTCCTTAGAGGCGCATTGCAAACAACGGAGTCTCTCAAATCAGGGGCCACTCACTTGCAGAAGTCTGGGCGCATCTCAAAACCTTAAGCGCCTCTCTGAGCCGCTGACGAGAGAACTGCTGCGCGAGTCCACGCGAGACTGCCATTTGCTATCTCGGCTTTCAGGCGGAGGCACCGGCACCTCGTCTCGCCCGCAGTCCCTGCTTGGGTGTACCCAGGTTCCGTCAGCTGCAGAGTGTCCGAAGACGGGTTCATCGCCAAACCACACAGTCGCCGTGCCTGAGCACGGCTATTGCAGGGGGTTTCGGGCTCCCAAGCCTGCATGAAAACCCCTCAGCTCAAAAGCCAACCAGCCAAGGAGCTCCCCGGCCTTTTAGGATTTCGCAACAGCTCCATCACCTTGTCGTAGGCCTGGCCTCGTCAACAACACGCGCTTGGCCGCGGCAAGAGATGCACATGATGCGGCCTCCAGCTCCCAAAACCGAAATCTCGTGTGTCAAACCCCGCAACCACCGCCGCTGGAAAGAGTTCTGCCTGGTGCCGCAACTTCAGAGCGCTAGACTTGCCCTAGAGCCCTGATAAGGATCAGATGTGGAGAATCCTGCCCAGAGAAAATCTTTGACCCTTTGGTCTCGGACTCTACGCTCTTCACAAAAAAGAAATGGTCTTTGCAGAGCAGTTCTGAAGCTGGGAAGCCGCCTGGAAGTGGCCCCAAGATGGTCGGTACCGGGAATTCTTGGAGCGGGGACAGCTACGAAATGATGCACGAACACAGGAAATTTGCGGCTGCAGCTGGGAATCCTTCGCAGCGAGGCGTTTCTCTATCAGATGCTTCCACTGGTAATGAACAGAGATGAGAACACTGCCTGTAATACGTAGGGAAGCGGAAGGCTGCCCCGGACATAAATCCCCCAGTCCCAAGGAGGAGGATCCTGGAAGAAACGACCGCACACCTTTTCTCAAAGCAGCCCCTCCCCCCAATCCCTATCGACAGCTTCCTTCAGACCTGAAACAGGCAAACAGGCCTCCCGGCACGGAGGCGCCCGCGGTCGGGAACTTCTTTCGAATATCATTGAAGCAGTCGAAGCTCTGGTAGTACGTAAACACCAGGCCGCAGCCAGCCGAGGCCTTGCACTCTGCCATGAACTCTTTGTCCTTTGCAAGCTCCCGGTTCTTCATGAAGTGGGGCAGCCACCAGCAGCGGGTCTTCTCCACTAAGTAGAGCATGGAGCCTCTGTCTTGGAGATCAGGGTAAGCCGCAGCTAGAATTCCAGGATGCCAGAGTACAGCCTGGAGGGCGCGCTGGTGGGGCCGGCAAAACTCTAAAGTCTTTAAAAGTTGGCAGGTATAAGAGGAGCTATGGAGATTTCTAAGAATTGTATGGGTTTAAGTCTCAGTCTGTGATTTTGTGGGAGTTCGGGGGCTTTTTAGAAGCTCGGGCAGCCAGTGCAGGGCCTCAGGGTCGCGCAGGTGGAGTCCACAAAACTCAAAAGTCTCTAAAATGGGCCTGTATAACGGTGTATGGAGATTTCTTGGCATTGTAAGTCGAGTTTTTGGGTTTTATGGGCTTTGACTACGGGATTTTCATACGGCTTGCAAAGCTTGATCCCCCTGTCCCACCACGGCCTTCAGCAACACCTCCTTGTCGCACCGCACATCCGCCGACGCATAATGCAGGGCACCACTCCATCGCCGAACCGCCTGTTGCGGCTTCATGGGGGATTACAAGGCTCCGTATACAGGTTCAATGGGAATCGTAGCGCTTCTGAAACCTTTGTAGGGTTCATAGAAAACTCATCTCTTTGTTACCTTGCCTCTTTGTTTTGGAGGGGGTCGTGCAATTTTATGGAGCTTTATGAGCTTTACTTCTACGATCCCTCTGCACAGCCTCGAAGCTGCACTGGTGGGGCGGCAAATCTCGAAAGTTGTTAAAATGTTTTTTGATGAAAGAATGTATGGAGTTTTGTAAGAGCTTTTGTGGGGTTTACTTATAAGATTTTTGTGCTGCTGGGTGAGGCAACACTCCTCAACGTGATTTTAGAAGAGAGTTTATGGATTTTTCGAAGATTTTTATGGGCTTTAAATCTTATGGGGCTTATGCACGGGCTTTAATTGTATGATTTGTGTAGGGCTTGCAAAGCTCGATCTCCCTGTCACGCCACGGCCTCCTGCACCACCTCCTTGTCGCCCTGCAGATCCGCCGACGCAAACTTCAGGGCGCCACCCGATTGCCGAACCGCCTGTTGCAGCTCCATGGGGATTTCAAGTTCTGTGGGACTTGTACCGTTTTAAGGCTTTTGAAGGTTCATAGGGAACTCATCTCTTTACCTTACCTCTTTTTTTTGGGGGGGTCATGCAAGTTTCTGTAGCTTTATGGGCTTTACTTCCAAGATCCCTCCGTACGGCCTCCAGGCTGCCCTGATTGGGCGGCGATATTCAAAATCCTTGAGATATTGTAGGAAAAGCTTGTGAAGTTGTCTGGCCTTTTATGGGGTATACATGTAATTTTTGTTGTGCTAGTGGGTGCGGCAAAACAAGAACACGTTAGCGTTATTTTGAGAAGAAAATTGATTTTGTGAAGTTGTGTTTTATTTAGGAAGTTTACGGCGCCATTCCAAAAGCTCGACCCACTCTCTCAAACCAGTTAAATTGCCCAACTGGGTGCAACAAGAACGATCCCTCTTCCCCTAGACTCCTAACACTGAGCCTTGGGGCCTCCGCGGGGACTGAATACTATCATGAATGTCGGTTAACGCCTGCTGCACTCCTTTTTGGCTCTCCGAGCTGCTGGCGTAAACACGTGTGAGGTCGATCCAGAAAAACGAACCGGCCACTGGCCCACAAACGAGGTCGGCGACGTAGCCAAAGTCCTCGAATACAGTGATCCGGCAGGAGCGGTACCGCCTGTAACGTTACCAGCCTGCAAAGCGAAGCCAGCGCGCGAGTCCGGCTGGTCTAGTCCCGAAGGTGCAGAAAGAGCCGTCACAAAGAAGACGAAGTAAAAAACTGAAACAGCGAGGTCGCGTAGCTGACCCGCAGTTTGGCATCTGGAGGCGCTTCACTGAGCGCGGGCAGAGCAGCGACCTCTTGCAAGTAGTATTCCAGAGTGGGCATGTGCTTGAGCCGCACGCGCCACAGAATATCCGCAACAGACAAGGTATGCAGCCACAGCGCCGCCACCGCGGAGGCCGCCAGGTGTAACCTTGACCACGTCCAGTAACCCAAAGGCCTTAAGGCAGCGATCCCACCTATACAACTTTTGGTAGCGCTCATCCGCGACATCGAAAAAGCACCGAGCATGTCCTTAGCTGAGCCCACAGGGCTGGCCAAGTAAAGTCTTGCAAGGAGGATGTCCTTAGCTGAATTCACGAAGCTTGCCAAGCCACACCTTAGTTGGACGGATTCCCATCCTGCTAGCCGAAAAACATCGGCAAGCTACTGAAGCCTTAAGGGGCCACCTATCTTCAGTCGAGCTGGTCTCCTGGAGGCCGACCAGGATGATGTACCTTCCAAATATCTGTTTGGACTCGCACCATCCAGCAACGAATCTGCTGCATGGCCCGTCCCTGCTCCCCACCCTGCACTGTCCACGCGAAACGAGCGACAAGCAGATTAGTAGGACCAGGGATACATGAGGGTCTTAGCCTGCATTCCCAAAACATGTGCTTGCGGGAGCCCAACCCCCCACAGTTCCAAATGCAACGATCGGACTGTTAGCTGGGCCGGCGGGGCCCACTCTGCTCCAAGTAGCTGGCGTGAACGTGCTCCCTGATGCAGCAGCAGCACAAGAATTGGCCCAATTGCAGACTCCTTTCCAAGGGACCCTAGCTAATCCACGACCTCCTGTTTGCCAAAGGTCAAAACCGTTAAGCTTGTGACACTCAGACCCTAACCACTGCAAGGCAGCCCATGCCCTCCAGCCAGCACGTACAGCGTGCTGTTCCTTGCTGGTGCGCCGTTCTAAGGCTGCAGCAGTGATCCTCGGCCTCAGTGGGACTACAAAGTGAGGGCCTCGTGAGCCAGAGCATGGCGCCACGGCCATTCCCCAACTAGGGCCCAACCCCTTTGAACAAGCCAATCATGCACGGCACAGCAGGCAGTTCCTCCGCGCAGCGTCCACTGCACAGTTTCCTTGGCAGCACGCCTGAGCAAACCCCCTAAGCCGAGTCGCCCACAAAACATCAAGATGACAGTTGGTCCAAATCAAAGCACCCAAGGACTACTATAATGGACCCTTGCCGCAGCTCTCCACAAGCAACTCCACAGCTGCTTCGAAGCTGTTAGGGTCGGGGCCCTAGCAATCCAACCGTAATTAGCTTAGACATCGCAAAACTCTTAGCTTCGCGAAGAAACCTGTCCAACCCAAAGCCAGCACACCCAAGTAGCCTGAGCCGCTCCTTAGCGCTATTAAGCCTGAGCTCTTCCGCTTCGGTATGGCTTCTGGGATTACAGTAAGTGCAAGCACCCAGTAATTTTACGTGCTTCTTGATATCACGGGGCTGAAGACAAGTAGCGGGATCCTGTTGGAGCCTAGCACTGGCACCTGTGGCTTCAGTCTTGGCCGCGTTTTCAATCAAACCTGCTTGATCACTCCAGGAGGCCCAAGAGGCTTGATGAGAAGCGAGGACAGGGGCGCTATTACCAGTAATGGTTCTGTCGTCAATGTACATGACTGTACTAGCGGGTGCATGACTCTGCACTAATTCAAACCCTGCTTGAATCCAAACAGACATGACCAAGGGGCCCATAGATTCTCCTTGGGGCTGCACACCCCAGGTCAAGGGCTCCGGACGCGTGTGCTGTTGACACTGGATGAACCTATCAAGCCTCAACCAAACCAACTCGAAGACCCTAAGCAGCCAGGGGGCCACCCATACTTCTGAAACATGGCCGTTGCGACCCTAGCATCCAAACAATCAAAGACCTTGGAAAAGTCAATCGCCAAAACCATTCCTTGCTCAGAAAGTTGCTCGAAAATGCGAATGAGAGTCTGCCCTCGCGATAGCACAAACTTCGGGGGTAAAACCGACCGCCCCCAAACCTGGAAGGCGTCAGAGTGATAAAGCGTGGACACCCACAGCCTCCATCAACTGCTCATGACCGTAATGGGCTGGAGCTGTCAACGGGCACCATTTGGTTGAAACCACCAGGTTTAGGCAAGCAGACCATCCTGCACTGACAGAACCGGGCCGGCACAGCCCCGTTATCAACCCATCCGTTTGCAAGCGCGGCAAAGGTTTCAAAAACTTCTTCAGGCAAGTGCTTGATGTCACCACCGGTCCAGCCGTCAGGCGAGCCAGCACCCCCACCCTTGCGGGCCTTGGCAAGGAGGTCCACGCCTGTAGGGAGGGACAACACGACTTCCTGATCAGGCTGCTCAATGGTGGTAAGCAAGGTTTCCGCGCGGCGGTCCAAACAAGGTCTGCTGCGGTCCAGGCGAAGCAAAAACTCTTTCCAGTAGCTATAGACAGCAACGGAGCCCTCCACAACAGACTTGGATCTAACAACCTGCTCATCATCACCAACAGTACTAACGCAGTTGACGTACGGGTGGTCCTTAGCTTTGAGCCACCTGCTAACCTCAGAGGAGCAAGTGAAAAGCCGCTCGGGCCAGGCTGCCTACGGAGCTGAGGGGTAGCATCACAACAGAGGTCTCGCGTGGCCTGAGCACTAGGGGACCCAAGAAATTGGCTAAGCGACTCAAAGTCACGGAATTCCTTTTCCGAGGCCGTGCCCTCAGCCCTTCTAGAAGCTATGCGCTGGTAGTCAAACAGGCGAGCCAGCAACCTACGCTGTTTACGAGCAGCCACGTTACCGTTGGGGATCCTGGGGCCCTGACAAGCTGGGGTTTCCCACTGAACACTAGCAAGACGGCCTTTAGCTTTAAGTTGACTCCAGACAGGGGCCTGCTTACCAACTTTAGCAGAAGCAGCCGCAAAAGTACTTTGCAAGGCACTTTGAAATTCTTCCTGGAGAACCTGCACTTCAACGTTGCCTTGGTCTATCAACGCAGACAAGCTAGTCGTGAGAGGATTGCACACCCAGCTATCTTTCAAGGCCCGTCTCCGTTCATCAGTGGGGACGTCTTGAGGTTTCCGCATATCCCCGGTGCGAGGAAGAACTCCTACTTTGAGGGGCATATAAGCTTGCTGAACTTCAAAAAGAAGGCTTTTGTAATCGCTGATCTTGGGGTCTCCAAGGGACACACTAGACGTAACAGAGGACTTGTTACAAACGGCCCAGATAATTTCATGATTACCTTCCCAACGAGAAGGTTGGCCCGCGCCATGATAAGCCGCACGCAAAGCCTGGGCCACACTCATAACGCTGGAGTCACCAGGAAGCTCGTGGTCCCCCATGAGGATCCACGGCTGACTACGTGCAACTCTTTCAGCAATGAACTAGTCAAGGAGGAGTTTCCCTGCTTGGGAAGGCCCGTCTTCGTTGGGGTGGGCATACATGTTGGTAACAAGCCATCCAGCAACCCAGACCCCTAACACGTCAGCATTCTCGAGACGACTAATTACCCTAAGAGGGCCTTTGAGGTATGTTTCTACGCACAAGGGTAACAAGTCCCCCAGAACCCACAGCATTGCCCGTAGGACCTTGAGCATACCCAGCGTACCCCGAACCCGAAGCAATTCCAAGGAAACCCGTAATCTCATTGGGCCTCATAGAAACTTCTTGCAGACAAACAACGTCACGATTGTCAGCAA